AACTACAGCTAACACCCCCCAGCACCACATTTGACATCCCAGGGAGCACAGCACCTAGCATCACACCTGATACCAGCCCTACCACTGCACCTGACATTGCATCTGACACCACACCTGTCAAGATGTTCGCTTTTGAAGGAGTCTGACCTGTCTGAACTTAACTCAGCAGGTGTGTTGAGCACTTACTATGTGCAAAGCACCGGACCCGCTTCCTTAGACGTTACAGAGAAGGGATGTGTTTGCAGCTTTGAAGAGCTCCCTCTAACTGGGGAGAAGAGGACTGGCGGCGGGCGGCAGGGAAAGCCCGTTGGGGCTGTGAGAAGCCTGGGAGGTGTATGGGGGAGCAGAGGAGCTAATGGCTTTTGAAAGCAGACCTTCATGTACTACAGTTAAATGCTTTTAGTTATCTAAAATTAAATGTAAGAATTCTGGTTTCACTTCACCCAGAATGTTATACTTATTTGTACTTGAAATCTATCGTGTTTTGGTTTAAGTCATTTCAGCAACAAGTTGATGGCCTTAAACCCATTCATGGGAGGTGGGTGGCCTGCCTACACCTCCGTTGACGGGCCAGGGCTGCTCGCCTCTATGGCACGGAGGCCGCGAAGCTCCACGTGCAGGGGGCATGTGGGACCGCACAGGCGTCCTCTTCTTGAAGTTTTCTCTTCATTTGGGAAAGGGCCCACTGACCGGTCACTTCAGCCTCGTGGTCACCTGTCCCTGCAGCGGGTCTGCAGACACTTGGTTCTGACAGCAGGGAAGCCGCTGCCGGGGAGAGAACCGGAACTGGCAGCAGGTAGACATACGGGTAAACAAAGCCTCAAGTTCAGATGTGTGCAAATGAGGGCTGCGATTATCAGAAGGGGAACCCTCTCCAGATAGTGGCAGAGCCACAGGTTGAAGATGACGCGGGTCAGTGTGTGGAGAGGGGATGAGCGCCCCAGGCAGCAGGAGTGGGGGAGGTGCAGGCTACTACCGAACGAAGGTGGAAGCCAGTTCAGGTGTGGGGAGGGGAGGGGTGAAAGAGGCATCTTGGAGAAGATGCTGGAGGGAGAGAAGCTCTGCCTCTGAAGGGCGGTGAAACCTACAAGCCAGAAAAAATGACCTTCACTTTCACAGCTTAAATCAACTTTTTTTTGAGGTCTGACTTACATGAAAATTTACCGGTTTTAAGCTGCGGTGCGAGGGTTTTGCAAAGTGTATGCCGCCAGGAACTTTCTGTCACCCACGTGTGCAAACTGATCGGATCTGGTGGAAGGGGGCTTGCTGTTTGTTGGGGTGGGCTCCTTGGGCGGGCCCTCATCTGAGTGCAGGTACCCACACCTGCCCAGAGCGTGCGGGGGAGGGCCTGCCGGAGCTGCAGGGAAGCGTGCGCAGCGGGGGTGAATTACGGGCCTGGAGGAAGCTGCATTCCTGGCATATTCTTTCCCAGTGTTTCCCAGCTCTCTGCAATACTGGTAGGAACCAGTTTTTTCTGACCGCCTCCAGCTTGAGCAGAATTTCAGTCTGTGTCGCTGTCCTCAGCCAATTGAAAATCACCTGGAGTTTTATCCCAAGCACAAAAGAAGGTCAGAGAGAGGAGGCCCGATGACTGCGATTTCCCTCCCCACCCCACTGCCACCCAGGGGCCTGGCCTGCGCCCTCCGGGTGTCAGCCCTGGAAATCCTTTGATTTTATTGTTTGCTGGCTTTGGCAAGGGTAAGCCAGCCTGAGAGACGCTGTTTATGTAAGGGTTGCTCTGTCTTACTTAACCTGATCAGTATCTCTGCCTGGTGACCACGCTGTCAGTCCTGCCTGCCTGAACCTCTCCCCAGGAGGCTGTAGTTGGCATTCCAGGTGCTTGGAACATCAGTGTGGTAACTACTCCTACCTCTGTGGCTGCCACTACTGTTCTTGTTATTCAAAGCTGATTTTTCTAAAGAGAGGTGAACTTGTGTTTTTTGCTATGCCTTTTGGCTCTGGGTCTGTCAGCAGCTGGTGCCCATCAGGGTGAGGGGTCGGCGTGCAGCCAGGGGACCCTCTCCATCCAAGGTCTTGTCGTTGGGCGACTGCCGCTGCATTTCTGCACATGTGTTCATGCGTTCTGTGGGGAAGAAGACAGTGTTTAAGGCTTGAAGAAAGTTGGGATCCTGTGTGCTGCTCTCCAGAGGCTACTTGGTTTCAGGGTCATGCCCTGTCCTTCAGCCCCCCTGCAGCCCCAGGGTAAATGTCCAGAGCAGGACTTGGCGTGGACACACGTAAGGGTGGGGACGCCAGTGCTAGAGCCCGCTGGGGGCAAAGCAGAAACTAGATGAGGTTTTACAAGGCAGGAACGGTGTGCTGTTGGTTCTTGCCGTGCAGGGCTGGGCTGACTCCTGCCGCATCCCCTACCCTATCAACGGGGCTCCTTTCAGTCCAGGCCCTCGGTTACTGGAGGTATGGGTGGGGGTCAGGGAGAGCCCTGGGCCAGAGCTGCTCCCAGAATGCGTGGAGCTTGCATGGCCTGCTGTACGAGCTCACAGAGTCAGAAATGTTTGGGGGTGTCCAGCGTGTCTGCTCCTTAGGCCTGTGTAAGGAACCAGGTGGGTGCCGAGCTTGGGGCAGCCTTGCCTTGCCCAAGGCTGCTGATCCTGAGGCATCCTCTCCTTTCTCTCCCAAGAGTAAGTCGGTTGCTTTCTCTGGTGGGCATACTGCTTTTACCCCTGTTAGAGGACTCAGAGGGAGAGAATGGTCTTGGGGTTCCAAGCCCTGGGTGTAGAATGCCCCTGGTTGTCAGGTCACGTGATGCAAGGTGCTCTGCAGTCGGTGTTATGGCCTTTGCCAAAAGAGAACCCCAGAGCTCCCTTCTACCATCAGCTGACATGCTGAAAATTAACCAGAAAGGTAAAAACAGTAAAACCTTGAATAGTGAGATATGTTAAAACATTTAAAAATTGTTATTGAGGTAGAATTTGCATGTAAAAATTGTACAATTCTGGTTTTTAGTATATTCACCGTGTTGTACTATCATCCCTAATAGTTTGATTTTTTTAAATTAATCTTTTTGAATACAAAAGGACTGTGTTCTTATTGTAGAATGATATAAACATTCTGGAAAGCTCCCCTCAGAAACACTTGTAGTGAGAGGCCGGGCTGCCTTGTGTGATGCTCCAGGCCTGTGCGCATCCCAGGGGTTTGTGACTGGCAGCAGCATGCAGCCATCTCTCGGACCGTCCAAGTCAGTACGTCTACATGTCATAAAGAGCCTGCCTGAAAAAGCCAGAAGACCTTCAGGCTTCAGGACCAGTCTCAGGGTTTCTGCCCAGACATAGATAGACCCATTCGATACCTGCCCAAGCTCCCAGACGAGCCCATCTGGACAACATCTTGGTAGCACTTAACTGGGAGGGCGAACAAAAGTCTAGTGAAGTTTCTCCTCTCCAGATTTTTCAAGAAGTCTAACCAGAGTTTATTGACAGAAGAATCTTAGAAACTGGAAAATGCATGGCAGAGAAGAAAGACAATGTTTTCATGTTTCTAAACTCTCTGAGTTTTAATATATATTTTTTGACAATGGAATTTTATTAAGTCTTAGTTTCTCTGACCTCTAAAATTTTATTTTAAGCTTCACGTCTTTGTATGAGATAAACTATTATAGTTCACAATGTCTATGCAGATTATAAATTGAATCAGGGAATTCCCTGGCACTCCAGTGGTTAGGACTCCGAACTTCCACTGCAGGGGGCACAGTTTCGATCCCTGGTCAGGAAACTAAGATCCCACAAGCCGCACAACATGGCCAAAAAAAAAAAGAAAAGAAAAAATTGAATCAAATACAAAATAGCCAAAAATAATAGGAAGAGGAGTTAGTTCACATTAGCACAAAGGAAGTTGAAACCAGTAGTAATACTAGTTACTACCAATAATGCCAACTGCCTACCAGATTGTGTGCTAAATGCCTTTAGTCTTTACAAAAAAAACCTATGAAGAATATATAGATTTTTTTTGTCCTCATCTTACGGATGAAAGAACTGAGCACAGAAATTTAGGTTATTTGCCAAGATCTCAGAGCTCAGATTTAAGGTTCTGCCTCCGACTGCACACCCTGAGCCCTTAGTGACAAGACTATTTCTGTAGGGGTTGGTGAGGACGCTTCAGGCTTCACAGGTCCAAGCTCCGGGCTGCCTCTTACATAAAGGCCTTGATTCTGTTTGGGTTTTTTTTGTTTTTGTTTTTAATATTTATTTGGTTGCGCCGGGTCTTAGTTGCGGCAGGTGGGCTCCTTAGTTGCGGCTCGCCGGCTCCTCAGCCACGGCGCACGGGCTCCTTAGTTGCAGCATGCAAACTCTTAGTTGCAGCATGCGTGTTGGGATCTAGTTCCCCGACCAGGGCTCGAACCTGGGCCCCCTGCGTTGGGGGCGCAGAGTCGTAGCCACAGTGCCACCAGGGAAGTCCCCCTGATTCTGTTTTATGTCCGGCGAGAAAGCACAAGCAAGCAGGCCTGGGCTTCAAAAGCTGTGCCACGCCTCTGGGGTCTGGAAAGAGGATCTAAATGCACTCAGTTCCCCTGAGGAGGCCCAGTTGGGGTTTGAGGACCTGGGGCAGCTGCAGCCCTAGAGGCAGGAGGGCCACGAGCATTGGTCTTCCGGATGACTAGGCAGGGAACAGATGGGGCAGGAAGGCCTCTGTTCACCTGCCTCCTGGGCTGCCTGCCATGGAAGCAGTTGGCACTCACAAGCCGGGCAGAGCTGCTCGGCCTTGGGCCTTGGGGGTTTTGATGGGAGGGCATCTGCGTCGTAGGGTTGGGGTGAGGAGGCGCATCTGAGGGAATGATGGAAGCAGGGGCCCAGCCTCTGAGAGAGCCACCCTCTGGGGGCAGAAGCAGGCTGTCCAGAGTAGGAAGAAGTTGACCCAACCAGGCTACTGGTAGATGGGCATAATCAAGGCTTACCTGCCGAGAACAGTTCTCTTTTTGGCTAAAAATGAGTCCTAGGCCTTAGGGGAGCAACGGAGTGACATGTGTGTTCCTTCTTTGTCTTCAGTCATGGGACATTTTTTTCCGAAACACCAACGCCGGAGCGCCCCCGGGCACCGCCTACCAGAGCCCGCTCCCCCTGAGCCTGGGCTCCCTGTCAGCTGTGGCCAGAGCGCAGCCCCTGGTGGAGGTTCAGCCCAACGTGGACAAGCTGGTGGAGGATCACCTGGCAGTGCAGTCTCTCATCAGGGCCTACCAGGTAAGGTGGCAGCGGCCAGCCATCCGTGACAGAGTGCCCCGCTGACCCCATGAAGGTTGTCGCTTAACTTTCACCCCCACCAAACACTAGGCGCTCTCTCTCCCTGCTCTGGGCTGGAGGGAGGCAAAAATGACATATGACAAGAGAAAAGGAGCCCAGGCGGTCTCACCCTGTTTGAGCAGATCCTCTGCCACCTTTAGCACCTGCCCTTATTTCTTCCCATAGCTTGGCAAGAATGATTTGTGAGCAGGGAAACGCGGTCAGTGCCCGGGTGTCAGGGGAAGTGCCGATGCCCAGGAGGAAGCAGTGACCAGGAGGGGTGTGCTACTCGCCTTCTCAGTTGCTAGGGCCCAAATGCAATAAGACAAAATGAACCTGTAGGGTTTGGGGACAGAAGCAGAGCCCATGGAAGCAGGGAGAGGCAGGTGAGGGGCAGCTGAGCCTGCAGAGGGGCCACCTCTCCAGGAGCATTCCAGTCAGTGGTCAGCCCCGTTGGAGGAGGCTCATGCAGAACCAAGGGCTTCCATGGCCTTTCTCAGAGCCGAAGCCCCTTCCAGGATATCTGCGTGGTGTGGAGAAGAGCCCAGAATTCAGACCTTACCACCTGGTCTGTGAGTAGTTCTCAGGAGGAAAGGAGGAGAAATCGGGCCCGGGGAGGCCCTTCTGGGAGCTCCCAGGACATGGGCTCCCCTGCTGCCTCTTCTGGCATTGCTGCAATGTAGCAGGGGTGTCACACCACAGAGTTCTGTCTCCGATGTTCTCTTTCCTGGAAATGGCCATGTGGACCGTTCCCCTCCGCCCACGGGGCCAGTTGCCACAGGTGTCAGGACAGGTAGCACAGGGTGGGTCTCTCCTGTTGGAGCCTGGCAAGTCAGGCTCTCTCCCCAGGGCAAATGACGAGACGCACGCCGTTCACAGTGGGCGTTTCTGTAGAAGGAGGCACAGTTGGTGTGTGCTGACCACTGCCTGACTTATTCAGCCTCAGTCATTTCTGTTGGTCTTTAAGTGACTTCTCAGCAACTGCTCCCCTTCCCAAATTGTTAGCAAGAAACAGTGGATAAAGTATCCAAGACTTAAAGAAACAAAATTGGAAGGGATTTTACGTGTCTTTTTGCTTTTAAATGGTTCAGATCAGGCACTGAGGTCCCTGTTGTAGCTGTCTGCTGTTGTGCCCCCTGTGCCCTAACCCACGCAGCAGGGCCACACCCACCCCTTCCTTAGGGACTTCGTGTTCTAAGCTGAGTGGTCTTCGCACTGGCGCTAAAGTCCCCAGCATATCCCATTTCTGTTTATCCAGGAAAACTGTGAAGGATCCCGAGAAGTGGGTCCTTTTAGACTGCCAGGTTTATCAAAACCTGAGGAGCTTATCCCCTTTTTATAAAAGTGCATTTATGCACAATAGTGCTTTAAAACAAACTATTGTAAGTCTTTTTACTAACTGACTTTGTTGTTTGGGTTCATTGGCACTCTCAGGGAAAGGTTTGACCAAGTGCAACTTTTACCCCTCGCCACAGCCCACAGGACCTGCTTAATGACTGCTTGTATTATTGCTTCCAGGTCAGGGGTCACCACATTGCAAAACTTGATCCTCTCGGAATTAGTTGTGTAAATTTTGATGATGCTCCAGTAACTGTTTCTTCAAACGTGGGTGAGAATTAATCTGTAAACACTAATTTTAATGTAATTTTACATTTTTTTTTTTTTTACCCCTTCCCTCTTTTTTTTCTCCTGTCCTTTTGTGTGTGTCCTTCCCTCTCCATCGCTGGCCCATTCGTAGATACGAGGGCACCATGTAGCACAGCTGGACCCCCTGGGAATTTTGGATGCTGATCTGGACTCCTCCGTGCCCGCTGATATTATCTCATCCACAGACAAACTTGGTGAGGGTCTGAGAGCGGCCAGCGCTGCGCTGCGTGGCTCCTCTCTCTGTGTCCCAGCCTGTGGCAGCCAGGACGTCCACAGGCAGAAGGGAAAGACTCTTAAGTTTCCTTCGTTCTGATCACTTGACATTTATCAGTCATGTAGCCTTAGTGTGTTTTGGGCAAGTTATTTTTATCTCAGCTTTTCAGCCAGATCGTATGAGCTCAATTATCTAAGTCTCAAAATTGGAAAGTAAAATTTGGGGGCAGAAAAGGTTTGTGGCACAGAGAAAAAGATGACCCACCCAGGCAGGCGGGTCAGAAGATATTCCAGAGACCAGCTCGTCTGGCTTCGGTTTCCAGATCTCAGGGCAGTGCTGCCCCAGACGGGGCACTGCTCAGGACCGTTGTCACACACTGTCTGCTCTGAAGCACGGTGTGGCCTGCCTTTGACAGGGCGAATTCCAGAGCAGGTGGTGCAGTTTGGGTGTCTCGATTCTCAAATGCCGGTGATCATACTGAGGAAACTTTGGAAGGCGTCCCCGCGGGCGCTTGTAGTCCCGCTCACCGTACCCTCTCTGTCTTGAGCAGAGGGGCGTGGCTGGGCTCACACCTGCGGTTGCTTTCTCAAGTTAACCTGCTCTAAGTCACCGTGCTGCTAACCTGTGCTGCAGAAATGACGACGTGACTAATTTTTAAATGGCCAGGTTGTTTTCGAGAAACACTGTGCATGCTAATAAAACTGATGATTACCTACCTGCCTAACGCTGCTCTTTGGGAGGGGACGAAATTTGCCTCCTGAATAACAGTCACTAACGCTTTGTGGTGCCCGAATGCCCTTAGAGGCGTGTCCGAGTTGTGACGTGGGAGGTCAGGCACTAGTCAGGTAAGGCTGGATTTCAAACAGTGTTGGCCCTGGGATTGCTGTTAGAGGTTTGTCTCTGCTCCGTCTTCATTTCAGAAACACTCCTAGGTAATGCAGGGTTTCCTCTACTTTGTACCTGCACTTTTGGAAGAAAGATTAGAGAAGCCCTTCTGAATATGATTAAATAGGGCCAGTTCAGATTGTCGGCAGGACGTGAGCTTAATCCTGCTACTTTATTGAGTGGTGACAACTGTGCACCCCAGAAGTGAGCTTCTCTTTGCAGTGTCCCTGAGGACACTTGGAGCTCCTTTCCTCTTCCTCGCCACTTAGTCCCCGCAGCACCCAGGCCTGACCCAACCTGTGCTCACCAGTGCTGAAGCCCCCTCAGCACCGTGAGTCCCCTCCAGATCCAGGGCAGAGCACCCCCTCTACGTGAGAGACCTGCGAGCCCCAGGGCACCAGCTGCCTGATGAGAGCTCAAGGCTCTGTGCCCTGGAGCTGTCTCTCCAGAAAAGGAGGACTGCAGAGCCAGCCCGGCCCAGGCCACAGAGCCTGGTGTTCCCATGCACAGTCAAGCATTTCAACAAGAAAGGCACAGGGGAGGTGGGGTCTCCTTCTCCCATCCGAAACTGCATCTCCCCTGTTCCTTGTGCCATCCCTGGTTGCTAGTTTCTTGGTATCAAAACGGACCTTTTTCGGTGGTTCCCAGCTCATTAGTACTGCCTGGGGAGCCTGGAGCTCTTCTCTGTCCCACGCAAGACTGGTCAGGGTGGGATGGCGCCCGCCGCAGCCCACAGGCACAGGTGGGGCTTCCTTGGAAGCGCCCCCCAGGCCATCCCAGCCCAGGAGTCTGTGAAGGGTGGGAGCCCCCAGGCCTGTTGATGCTGCCTGGCTCTTCAGTTCACAGCTCTCATCAGGGGCAGGGGCAGAGGCAGGACCTCTGTCCTTCTTCCTAGTTCTTTCTTGGCCATCTCGGCCTTGCCTTACGTTCTACTCTGAAATAGTGCCCCGAGTGTGCCCCTGTGAGGTTCTGTGTCAGCATGGCGAGGGTTATAAGCCAGAGACACACAGAGGTGGCCCAGAACTTCCTGAGCTCATTTGAGGAAGACTGGGCATCCTCCAGCTGGGAGCCCTTCAGAAACAGCAGGAGAAAGTTGGGCAGCAGCCCCCTCCTGTGCAGGAGAAAAGGTCACTGCATCCCGAGAATTCAAAATAGTGTGACCTAAAAGTCATGATCAATGGGGTTAGTGTAGGAAAGTTAGTCTTAAATTATCTCATCCTTGATGTATGTAGGTCTTTATGAAAACAACTGGTCCAATGTGACTGCTCTATTCAGGGACACTGGACAGTCCCTAGAGCACTTTCCTGCCCACCATCTTATCCGAACCTCAGGGCCTGGGTTCGAGCCAGCTCCCTATGTGGAAGCCCGGCTCTGCCAGGACTAGCTGTGTGCCTCTGTCTCTGTCTCCTCGTCTGTTAGGTTGTTTCAGAATTAAATAAACTCCTGAGAATAGTGCCTGGAGCTTACTAAGCTCCATGAAGGTGTGAGCCACTGTGATTGTTAATAATCTTTTGAGATAAGTAGCTGCTGGTCTCTCTGGTAAAGATATATATTTAGAAACCAAGAAATGGAGCAAGTAACCCAGAGTGGGTCCCACAGGAGTTGGTAGTAGTAAGGACTGGGCTGCACCCTGAGTGACGAGGAGACAGGGTAGCTCCGGGGCAGGGACCTGCCAAAGCAGGGGGTCGGCGTGGCCCACGTGTTGGTCTGGGGTAAGTGAGTGACTGCAGTGGTGTCCTGTGTTGCACAGAAGCCTTCCCCAAGCCTGCGTCCCGCTCGTAACACCCCTGAGCTGCCCTTCCTTTCTCCCAGTGGATGCGGCACGATTTCTCCATCCTCTTGTGGGGAAACCGAGGCCCAGGCGGTGATCACCCCTCAGGTATTTGAGCATTGTGCTGTTGCTGGAGCAGCATGAGGGCCAGAGGAACAGCTGCGAGCCTTGGGTGAAGTCAGGAAGCCGTTCCCAAGGGCAGCGCTAGCCAGTGCAGGTCTGCAGGGCGAGCGGGGCTGATGTCCCCTCAAAATTTTTTTAATAAGGTGGAAAATATGAAAAGTTTCCACTGAGTTCTTGCCCTTTTCTGACCAATTCTGAGAAGGTTGGGAAACGCTGGCCTAGGTTCCCTATGCTAACATCCTAGAAATACTCATGGCCCCTGCAGTCACTGGTAGAGAGTGTTAACAGGTAGACAGCCGACTTGGCCGACATGCTCCAGCTGCTGGATGGTCCTAGCATGTCAGGGTCACCGTGAGACACGTGCACACAGAACATACTGTGAATGCAACAGAAATATCATTGAGATGGTGGGGTTATCGATTATTTTGATTAAAATTTAACAATTAATGTTAGAACAGTTTCTCAGGTGTGGGTTATGGTCTAGAATTGTGCGGTGACTGCTTAGGAAAGGGGGGCCTTTTCCCAGAATGTGTTATGTTAGGAGCCAGGTTCCAGGTGTCCCCCAGAAGAGCATCTTGATTTATGTCGCATCGGGTGGAGGAGAGTTGAGCTCCAACCTGAGATGCCTGGGCACACATTCCACATTCCTCCCTAGGGAGAGGTGGGAAGTCTCCAGATGGGATCAGGTTTTCTAGCGAGGCCTCTCCTGGTTGGCCCTAAAGAAGGGTCAGCGTGCAGCTTTTGACAGCGAGTCCCTTGGGGTCGGGGTTGTTGCCACCTTAAGTAGAAACAAATCAACTCCAGACAGCCTGTGCGCTCTTCCCCCTCCAGGCTGCAGTCCTGCGCTGGCATGCAGTCCTTGCTTCGCTGGGGTGAGGACGGGGCGTGGGGCAGTCTTGTTTCTGGCCTCAGCAGAGCTGCCCTTGGCTGGGTGGGGACATGGTGAAAGTTCTCATTAGCTCTTACCCTCCATTTCCTCTCCTCTTCCAAGGGCAGCATTTGAGTTAGATTCCAGCTTAAAAGTGCCATCGTCTGTGGTTTCTGTATAAATTCTATAGTATAACTATTCACAGTGACAAAATGATTGGAATTTACTTAAATGTGAGACTTAAACATAATTAAAGGAGAACTCAAAACAAATTCTGTAAATAGAGAGGAAGGCGTGAAACTTCTATTTACCATTAGTGTTTGCAAATTGTCAGTCTTAGGAAATGAGCTTGAGTTAAATAGTTAAAAGGGCAATTCAAAAGTCCAAATGATGGCAACATTTTAGCTACTTCATGTCCAGCACAGCAGGACATGAAGTCTCCCCACCCTTCTGACCTTCCAGAGCGTTCTTTCTGGTTGAGTTTTGCCCCCTTGATGGCTGGGAAGAATGAGCTAAAAATAGAGTTGAATTTTAATCTGCTTTCATAATTTCAGAACAATAGAGGGCAGTTTACTTAGCATTTATTGGCAGCTGTGTGCAGTGAGTGTGTGGTGCCACCAGACCACTGAGTGAAGAGTTGGGATCAGGTTCCCCAAGTGACTCAGGAGGGCAGGCCAAGCTAAGGTCATTGTGGGTACCTCCCCCTGCAGGGGTGTCCTCCGTCCTGGATGCCCAGGAACTGGCAGACCAAGGCACATCCCTGCTTCTTGCCGGCTATGCTTCACTTAGGAACAACACGACCAAATCTCAGCCGTTCTCTGTCTCTCCAGCAGAGCATCTTGTGCTCATCAAGAAGTAATTTTTAAAAATGTTTTGAAGTGCTCAGGTGCTGGGAATCCCTTGCGCTTTCTGTAAATGACAACCAGAATATCTGTTCTCTTTCCATTCTCCTTCGGTTTGTGTCTTTTCTTTGTATTTTATTTTAAAAATATCCAAAAAGTGCAGATAAGAATAAAAGCATCCACGTATCCAGTACCCGCGGTGAACAAATGTAAACATTTTACCATATTGTCTTTAGATTTTTTTTTTAGTTTTATTTCA